AGCATTCAGTGTCTTTAACCACTGAACCATCTCTCCAGCTACTCCTACCCCTGCCTCTTTTTACATTTTATTTTGAGAGAAGGTCTCACTGTGAAGCCCAGGCTGGACTTAAATTTTCTAGCCTCCTGCCTCAGCCTTCTGTGTGCTGAGCTAACAAACACACACAGCTGCTCTGGTTACAGATACAAATTTAAAAATCGTTGTACCATCTATGGCTTCACTGATATGAAGGGTTCTGTTGCTTCTTTTTCTCTTTCTTTTTTTTTTTTTTTTTTTTTTTTTTGGTTTTTCAAGACAGGGTTTCTCCATAGCTTTGGGGGCCTGTCCTGGAACTAGCTCTTGTAGACCAGGCTGGTCTCGAACTCACAGAGATCCACCTGCCTCTGCCTCCCGAGTGCTGGGATTAAAGGCGTGCACCACCACTGCCCAGTGGGTTCTGTTGTTTCTAGTTGTAGAGACAGCGTCTCCTGGCATCAGGAATTTTCAATTCTCCTGCCTCTGACTCCTGAGAATCTGGATTACAGGCGTGCAATACCAGCACCACTCACTGTGCGTGGTTACAGAAATGAATATACATGGTTCTGGAGAGATGGCCCAGCAGTAAAGAGGCTTTTCATCAAGATGACTGAGTTCCATCCCCAGGACCCACATAGTATAAGGGTTCTAACACCAGAGAGTTCACCTCTGACCCCCACACTCACATCATGGGATACACACACACACACACACACACACACACACACACAGTCAATCAATCAATCAATCAGTGGGGGGGGGATTAAAACCCAGAATATGTTTTCAACTTCCCGGTTTTCATAAATATATGTTTTTGCTATTGGGTTTTTTTTTGTGGTTGTTATTGTTTGTGGGGTTGTTTTTAGGTTTTTTGAGTCAAGGACTTGCTACATAGCCCAAGGCAAGGATGGCTTCATACTCTCCATTGTCCTCACCTTCCAGCTGTGTGAGTGTGGCAGACAGAGGTCAAAGTTGGCTACCTGCTGTGTTCCTCAGTCTCTGTCTACTTTATTGTCCTTTAACAGTTCTCTCATGGAATCTGGCCCTCACTGATTGGCTAGACCATCTGGTCAGTGAGCAGCCCCCCCCCCCCCCCCCACATACACACACCATCTTCCTTCTGCTCCTCAGGGCTGGGATCACACATGTGCACTGCCCACACCCAGCTTGTCTGTGAGTGCCGGAGAACCAAACCAGGTCCTCACTGTTGCAAGCGGCAAGCACTTAACACTGAGCCATTTCTCCAGCCCCCAATGAGTTTTTTTAAATCAAGCACCCTCACCAGTATGAGAGAGTAAATTAGGGCTGCGAAGAATTCTCCACTGGTAACAGCTTCAGCTTCAACCATCAGGGGTTTCTCAGTTCCCAGGGACTGTCAAAAAAAAAAGAGGTCCTGCCCCCCTCTCTTGGTTTTTTGGGGTACGGTTTCTCCTGGCTGTCCTGGAACTCGTTCTGTAGACCAGGCTAGCCTTGATCACACAGAGATCCGTCTGCCTCTGCCTCCTGGCTTCCTTCCTTCCTTCCTTCCTTCCTTCCTTTTGTCTATCAAGTAATTTCTTCCCGCAGTGGTCATGGCCAACACTTGATCATCCTGACTGAAGCTCTGATCTGTGAAGCCACTACCTCCTCATTGGATGCAGACCCTGGGAGTTGGACTTTCCCCGCCCCCAGCGGCCTGAGGGCTTCGGGTTACTGTGTGCCTTGTCTTATTTTTCTGTTAGTCAGCACTGAACTAATATTGACAAGCCCCTAGAGCAGAACCGGCGGGCAGAGCTGGCTAAACACAGGCTTTTCTCCACAGGAGACATGTTACTGCCTTTCTCCTTTCCCGGGAGATGGGAAGGTTGAGCACGTTTCTTTCTGCGTTCAAGCCTTCTTCACTGAGTGGGTATGTCTCACCTCCCAGAAGTGTGAGGCACACGCCATCTGGTCCCATCGTTTTCAAGATGATTCATGGTTATTTTTTCCCCTGTATTATAAATTCTTCACCAGCTACATCAACCACCATAGTTTACTTAAACTTGTTTCAGATTCTTGTTAACAATGCATAACCATATACATTCTGGGTTTTAATCTTTCCCATTGGTGTGCGTGCGTGTGTGTGTGTGTCTCATGATGTGAGTGTGGAGGTCAGAGGTGAACTTTCCGGAGTTAGCACTCTTCTTCTACTATGTAGACCCCAGGGATGGAACTCCTCAGTCATCAGACTTTATAGAAAGCATTTTTACCTGCCGAGCCATCTCTCCAGCACTGTGTGTGTGTGTGTGCACGCGCGCGCATGTGTTCAATATAATTATAAACCTGAACTATTTTCCACCAGAATTATCATTGAGCAAAGTGGTAAAATGTTTGGGTGTTGTCAAGTAATTTTTAGAAAAACAGTTGCTGCTCCTGCCAGTAATATATGAAAGTCTCAGGGCTGGAGAGACGGCTCAGTGGTTAAGAGCATTGGCTGCTCTTCTGGAGGATCTGGGTTTGATTCTCAGCACCCACATGGTGACTCACAGCCATCTATAACTCCATTCCCAGGGGATCTGACACCCTCTCCTAAACATGCATGTAAAGGGCACACAGACATATATGCAGGCAAAACACCCATATCCATAAAGTTGAAATTATATATATATATATGTATATGTATATGTACTTTAGCCCCCCCAGTTAGGCTGGAGTTACAGTAGTGCCACCACACACTGCTAGTAGCTGCAATTAAAAATATACATGTACTTATTTATTTGCTGCATATGCTTGTGGGACTGAGCACATATGTATGTACACCATGTGGATGCCCCAGAAGGGCAGAGGGGGCATTGGCTCCCCTGGAACTGGAGTTACAGGCATGTGACTGTCTGATGTGGATGCTGGGAACCCGACCTGGGTTTTCTGTGAGAGCAATAAATGCTCTTAACCACCGAGCCATTTCTCCAGACCCAAGCACCTGCATTTTCAAAAACTAAAAGAGCAAGCAGAGCATGGAGGATGTGTAGGGTAGAGAGAGTTTTCCTTCTGAACCCACAGCTGGGGACATGCCATTATACGGGTCTTAACCTTTGCTGACTGTTCACCAATGAAAATCACAGACCGAGGAACTGCAGAGGGTCCCACCTGGGTCCCAGAAGTGGTGGGAGTGACAGGGGACATACAAAAACTCTGCCTTCTGATTTGTCAGAGGAAATCCTAAAACTGCCCTAAGGAATCTATCAATTACAAAATGTAAAAAGTCCAGCACTCATGAGCCAGAAGCAGGAGAATCTCTGTGAGTTTGATGGAAGTCAGCCTGATCTACATAGTGAGTTCCGGGTTAGTGACACACTGTCTCAAAAAAATAAAAACTATGAAAAAAGTAAAATCAATGCATTGTGTGCTGGTCCACCCTGAGTCTTTTCACCCAAGCTACAGCTTAGTTTGTAGAGTGCTTGGCAGGTGTCCTCATTAGCGAGACTATCACTGTGATGACACACCATGACCAGAGCAGCATAGGGAGGAGAAGGTCCCTTACACTTCCACATCACTGTTCATCACTGAAGGAAGTCAGGGCAGGAACTCATCACAGGGCAGGAACCTGGAGTAGGAGCTGGTGCAGAGGCCATGGAGAGGTGCTGCTGACTGACTTGCTCCTCTGGCTTGCTTGCTCAGCCTGCTTTCTTATAGACCAGGACCACCAGCCCAGGGATCGCACCACCCACAGGGCAGGGCCCTTCCTCAACAATCACTAATTAAGAAATGCCCTACAGGTTTGCCTACAGTCCAGTCTGATAGAGGCATTGTCTCAGTTGATGCTCCCTCCTTTGGGATGACTCCAGTGTGTGTCAAGTTGATATAAAATAAGCCAGCACACCAAGCATCATGGCACTTGCCTGTCCCCCAGCACTGGGAAGGTGAAAACAGGAAAACCAAGAGTTCAAGACTCTCCTTGATGACACAGAATGCTTGAAACCATCTCGGGCTACATAAGAACCAGCTTGTTTGTTTGTTTTTTTAATGTATTTTATATTTTTCAGTATATCTGAAATAATCATATAATATACAATCAATAGCAAAAATAATGAATAAAATATTAACTGTTTCTGGTCCTGAGTCATTGAGATCTGGTTTGCTGCTTCTTAGCACGGCCCATACTTGCTGACGACCAATCACATCTCCAGTGGGCATCAGCCTCATATGAGCCCATGCTTGGTCATTGTATATCTGGAACTTGATTTGACCCATGGGAGGACAGAGGGGAAAGGTCTCAGTGGCCTGTTTTCACCGCCTCCTCCCCCGCTCCCTTGCCACCTGCTGTCCAGAAAATTCATGCCAAGGCAGCCGGTGTTTTCCCGCCCTGTCCAGAGAGATCAACTTCCTCGGAGTCAGCCACCCCACCCTCTCCTTGGCTCTCTCGCTGTCCTAACTCCCAGGGATTCACCACCTGGGCCAAGCTGTAGCTCTGGCTCTACTAAGAGCCTTCATAACAGTTTTGAAACTGTGTCCGCAACCGTGAGTGTGACATGCCAGGCATTCTGCTAACACAGGAGGCACATCTTACCTAATCAGTCTCAACCGTCTAGAGGGCTGAGCCTGTGTTCAAAGTCAGGGGTAGGGGGCTGGGTTCTCCTTAGGCTAAAGGACTGGGGGTGGGGGGTGACATCCTCAGCTCCCACTTGGCTCTGAAGAACCTGCCCCCATGCTTGTGTCCTTAGGTGAACACACCCCTAATACTCCCCCCCACACACCTGTGTCCCACCGCTACCTGAGCGGCAGAGCCCTGATCGTGAGAGGGCCCGGAGGTGGGAGCCACCAGCTACCTCAGGCTCTCAAGACACCTCTTGAGGTCAAGTCACCTCTCTGCCCCATAAGGGTAGGCCTGATGACCTGGGCAGACCAAACAAAACAAAAACAAAAACGAGGGAGCACTGGGTAGGGCGGGGCAGAAACAAGGACTCTCCCTTGGGGCGGGACCCGTATCAGACCTGCTAGGCAAAACCGGGGTGAGGGTGGTGGTAGCCGAGGCCAAGCGGAAGAGCATCATGAGCGGACAAGTCGGGGACCTGAGCCCACAGCAACAGGAGGCCCTGGCCAGGGTGAGGGGTGTGGAGGGAGGGAAGGCGTGGGAGCCAAGCTGAACTCACCGGGCGCACATTGGCTGTAGCCTTGTGTGGGGACTGGATGGCAAAGCCCAGTGCCTCCGGAGAGCACCGTTCTGAGGCAGCCGCTGTATGCTGCACCCCTCCTCTTCCTCCCTCGGGGTGACTTCTGTGTGTGTGTGTGTGTGTGTGTGTGTGTGTGTGTGTGTGTGTGTGTAAATTCAGCCTTCTATCGCAGTGGGCCACACCACCCAGTTTTGGCCCCTGTTCCCAGCTTATGACTACTGCCAGGCAGATCTGTAGATCTCTGCCGAGATTGCGACAGTGTTTGGTTTGCTTTGGTTTCAGTTGCCAGGGTTCCCAGTCTTCTTATCAGACGTATTTGTTTACTTTTTATTAGCACACAGAAATAGAAGGCTAGAGGGTCTTATTTTGAGAGCATCCTGCAGACTATACCTGGAGAAAGCAAGGACTATCAGAAAGGAGAGGCCCAGTCCATAGGAATCCAGCCCAGGCTCACACTCGGCCTTCTTTGAAAGGAAAGCTAAAGTTTTGTGACAGACAGGCAGACACTGGAGGCGCAATCCCACCCGACGAGGCAAAGACCGGAAGATTGCCAAATTCAAGACCAGATTACCTGGTGACTCCGTCTCAAAGGACAATGATGAATGGCTTGTTTTGAAGTGTCTCCCACGGGGAAGGATCTTACAGGGAGAAATGAGAGACCTGGGTGAAGGATAGACCTGGGAACTCAGCCAAGGCTCTCCAAGTGAAAGAGAGGACCTTAGCGGAATAGGAGGGCTCACTGACAAGCCGCCCAGTGCTGTTGGTCTCAGGAAGCAACAGGCACAGGGTTCTTTTGGGACTAGACACCTGGCGTCTGGGAGGGAGTGTGATAGAGAACCCTGTGAGGCATTCCTACTTTCTCCATTATTTAAAAATAACATACACTTACTGTTTTAAAAATTGTAAGAGAAAAAAGGAGGAAGAGGGGAAAGGCTGTGGATGCTGTAGATCTTTGTACAGCTGTGCACGGAATCAGCTCCTTCTAGAGGATTCCTGAGCTTAACGTGCACCAGTGTGTCCACACTTCCAGACACGCAATCTTCATAGGACAGTGTGGCCACACTTCCAGACATGCAGTCTTCATAGGACAGTGTGGCCACACTTCCAGACATACAATCTTCATTGTTCAGTGTGTCCACACTTCCAGACACTCAATCTTCATAGGACAGTGTGACCACACTTCCAGACACGCAATCTTCATTGGACAGTGTGTCCACGCTTCCAGACACGCAATCTTCATAGGACAGTGTGGCCACACTTCCAGACATGCAGTCTTCATAGGACAGTGTGACCACACTTCCAGACATGCAGTCTTCATAGGACAGTGTGGCCACACTTCCAGACATGCAGTCTTCATAGGACAGTGTGGCCACACTTCCAGACACACAATCTTCATAGGATACTGTGTCCACACTTCCAGACACACAATCTTCATAGGACAGTGTGGCCACACTTCCAGACACTCAATCTTCATAGGACAGTGTGGCCACACTTCCAGACACTCAATCTTCATAGGACAGTGTGGCCACACTTCCAGACACTCAATCTTCATAGGACAGTGTGGCCACACTTCCAGACACTCAATCTTCATAGGACAGTGTGTCCACACTTCCAGACACACAATCTTCATAGGACAGTGTGGCCACACTTCCAGACACTCAATCTTCATAGGACAGTGTGGCCACACTTCCAGACACACAATCTTCATAGGACAGTGTGGCCACACTTCCAGACACGCAATCTTCATAGGACAGTGTGGCCACACTTCCAGACATGCAGTCTTCATAGGACAGTGTGGCCACACTTCCAGACATGCAGTCTTCATAGGACAGTGTGGCCACACTTCCAGACACACAATCTTCATAGGACAGTGTGGCCACACTTCCAGACATGCAGTCTTCATAGGACAGTGTGGCCACACTTCCAGACATACAATCTTCATTGTTCAGTGTGTCCACACTTCCAGACACTCAATCTTCATAGGACAGTGTGGCCACACTTCCAGACATGCAGTCTTCATAGGACAGTGTGGCCACACTTCCAGACATGCAGTCTTCATAGGACAGTGTGGCCACACTTTCAGACACTCAATCTTCATAGGACACTGTGTCCACACTTCCAGACACGCAGTCTTCATAGGACAGTGTAGCCACACTTCCGGACATGCAATCTTCATAGGACAGTGTGGCCACACTTCCAGACACCCAGTCTTTATAGGACACTATAGTGTGACTTTTCTCCAGGCTGGGCAGACAGTCACCTAGCAGGGATGAGAGAGAAGCATTATTGTTCCTTAAGGGACACTGTACCCTTTCCCACCCTCCAGCCCCCATCAACTGCCTCTGTTCCCTCAGATCAAGTGTGAATCCTTCCAGTGCCTGCTGGGATTCATGCTTTAATCCTTGTTAGCATCAGAGACTGCACACTGATGACAGCGACAGGCTAGGTACTCGGAGACTATGGATTACCAAAGAGAAAAAGGCCAAAGAGGAGAATCTGTTCAATGCCCAGCCAAGCAGTGACAGCCGTGCTCTCTCAGAGAAGACACAGCGTGATCCAGGAGCTGCTGGGAGCTGGCCTGTCCTAGCAGCTGTATGTGCAGGGTCGTTAGCTGCCCCTGAGGCTGACTTTAGGAAAGCTTAGAGCACCACTATTTCCAGACAAGCCATTAGGAGTTGGGGCTGTGGATGTTTGTGTACAGCGTTGTGGGTTATCAGACCCGAGGACTCATGGTCTGGTTGTTAAAGTGTGGGATTCTCTACCTTCACACTTGGTCATTTGTCTTCACGAGTTTCTTTTTAATTATGTAAGCACAGCAAAATGTATTCTCATCTCATTAGTTTTTTGGGATTACTATTGGCCAGGCATGGAGACGCACACCTTTAATCCCAACATTTGGGAGGCAGAGGCAGGTCTGGTCTACATAGTAAGACCCTGTCTCAAAAATAAAACAATTATCGATACTTCTCAGAGGTTGGGGTATCTAGCCCTGACTTGCTTCAAACTCATAAGATCTACCTACCTCTGCTTTTTGGGCACTAGGCCCAGACTTACAGAGATGTGTGTGTGTGTGTGTGTGTGTGTGTGTGTGTGTGTGTGCGTGCGCGCGCGCGCGCGCGCGCGCGCACAAGCATGTGTATGTTGTTGTATGAGTGTGGGTGTTCTACCTGCACGTATCCCGGTTAATAATAACTGCTGAGCCATCTCTCCGTCCCTATAGATTTTCTTTTTCTAGACAAGTTCTCCATATGTAGCCCAGGCTAGTCTCAAACTCCTGATCCTCCTGCCTCAGCTTCCTGAGTGCTGGGGTTACAGATATGTGCCATCAAACTTGGTTTCCATGTTTATTTTAAACACATTGAAGCCTTTGATTGGACACATTTGACATTACCTTCATGCCATAAATGAGGAAACTGAAGCTCAGAGGAAGGAGCCCCTCTTTAATCCAGACTATTGGGGTGCAATTCTGGGGCAATGCTTCTAGAACTGTCAGGCTAGCCTTCATCAGCAGTTGGGGGAGAAAAGGCTGGAGTTCTGGTACTTATTTGGGGAAGGCTCTGGCACTGGCCAGAAGAGGAACTTGTCTCCCCAGAAAAGAGCCAGACAGTTCTGACAGCTCCTCACACCACCGTGCAGGACAGACTGGAGTCCAAACTTGCCGGGCAGTGGCATATAGAACCACTGGTCAGGACGGCTTAGCCATGCGTACCTCTTGCCCTTTTTTAAACTTAAGCTTCATTCCAGGACCACTTGTGGGCCTCTTTCCTGGTTTCTCTCTCCAAAGTGGCCACACCAAATAACTCTCCTCAGCTTGTCACTGCTGCTTGTCTCTTGATTGACCGTTTGAGCTGTCAGGGCCCGGGCTCTGACAGAGGACTTCTGTAACATTCTATCATGCCCTTCCTTTTCCTCTTAGTTCCGGGAGGCCCTCCAGGATGTGCTGCCAGCGCTGCCCAAGGCTGATGACTACTTCCTTCTGCGCTGGCTCCGAGGTGAGGTCATGGGGATCAGGGAGGCAAGGAGCAAGGGAAAGGAGAGAAAGAAGCAAGATGGCAGGAAAGTGAGGTGGGCACTTCAGGGCACTCATCCTGCTGATACACAGGCTTCCTGTTGGCCTTCTCTAGGCTAGAACCTAAACTCCATTGCTAGAATCTGTGCGCACTGCACAGACTCGTCTGAGCCCTAGTCTCTCTGTCTCGGAGGGAGCTTGGGTCTCCTGAATGACAAAGAAAAGAGGAAATGATTGCTCCCGGGTATGGGTTAAGGAGGAAGTTTATTGTAGATTTCAGTGGGAGCACAGCCAGAGCATTTAGAGGCATCCAGAGGGAACCGCGACCTGAGAGGAAAGGGATGACGGTGGGGCGGCCTGTGGAGGCCAGAGACTGCAGCCAGAGCCCCCTTAACTACTCTTCTTTATTGAGCAGGGTCTCTTGACGACCTAAAGCATGCTGGTTAGCTAGCCTAATTAGACAGCCGGTCCCAGGGGATCCCCTCCCGCTCCATTCTACATCTGTCCTGATTCCCCTAATACTTTTACTCCAGTGCCTTTGGCTTCAACAGAGTAAATGCATGGAGGCCCCAGGGCCTTCCCAGCTTGGCACTGAATTGGGTTTCTGTGAACCTTTAGGACTTGGGTCTGCCTTCAGTCCTCTGGGACACCAAGTAGTGATGTAATGGCAGAGAAGGGGCTTCTAGAACTCACAGCAGTCTGGAAGAGGAATACCAGAAATGGCACCTAGGCTGGGGGGCAAGAGGCTAGAGTGGGGGGGAGGCTGGGGGAAGGCTGCAGGGAAGGCTGGGGGGAAGATCTGTGGCAGGTGGAGCTGGGGGGAAGGCTGGGGTGAGAAATCTTTTAACTCAGTCCTTTGCCTGGAATAGAGTGGGCACTTGAGGTAGGAGGAAGTCAAGACTCATCCCAGAAGTGAACACAAGGCACGTGGGTTAAGTGGTTGTCAACCAGATGGACTTGTAACCGAGCCCCAGCTCCACACTGCTAGCAGAGGACCAGCGAGAAGCCAGTCTATCAGCCTTGCTTTCTTCTGTGCTGTTGTAGGCTTGGTATTGAGCCCTGTCTTCAAAGTGCTGAGTCAAATATAAAGTCTCCAGGCCTACATGAAGGAAACCCCAACCTGAAGGCCACTTTCCCCCTCTTTTTGTTCTTTCTGTTTTTAAATAATTATTTTTAGAAACAGTTTTTAAATTTTATTTTTAAACAGTTTTAGGTTTTCAGGGGAAAAAAAACAGCCAACAGGATGAAGAAAAAACTAGTAGCATTCTTATCTGAAGCAATATCCAATTATAAAACATGATGAGCACTCAGGTACTGCTCAAACTGGCAGCTCGGCCTATAAAACTCTTGGAATTTAAGCTTGGTACAGAAAAGATCCAGACACAGTAAATAGACAAACGTTTAAATGTTGATGTATTTAGAACTGCTATATTCAGTGTGGTATCCTGTGGACATATTTAACTATCCAAATTATCTTAAATTAAGACTGCGGGTCCTCGTCTCACTGGCTACATTTCTGCTGTTCAGTGGCCTCATCCAGCTAGGGACCGCCACACTGAGCAGTTCAGAGATGGCTGGTCCCATCATCATAGACCACTCAGCGGGCTAACACCGATGCAGGTGACGCTAATACACACAAAAGAGGACCGGGAGAGTGTCATCGCAGAGGCTTGTTCTCTGACACTTGCAGTGAAACCTACCCTGACAAGCAGCTCTGTATTGTTTGGCCTGTGACTGGGGGGCTGCAGCCCTTATGAGACGGGTTTGGGCTCTGTGGAAGCTGCTGAGGAGTAGCGTGGGCTGCCTGTGTATGCCATGACCGAGTGACTTGTCACAGAGGATGGGGAGGCCAGCTAGTGGCCCTTGTGGTTCCTTCTTGAGGTGATTAACGAACAGGGCAAAGGCTGTCTGGCTGGAATGTCGCCTTCCACTTGAAAGTCTCTGCTGTTGTGTTCCACTTCAGCTCCCTTGGTGGAAAATCTGATAGCGAGCTAGTCGCCATACAAAGAAGCTGCCAAGGCATTTCTAAAATAAACTGTGCTTGTGGGCTGCCGGCATGCCTCTAGTTCCAGCTGAGATCATTAAGGTACTTGCTGGGCAAATATGAGGACCACGCTCTTTCTCCCAGCATTCATACAAGGAGCAAGATCCAGCATGGTCTATGTGTAACTGCAGGACGGAGGGAGATGAGGCTTTCTGGTCAGCCATTATTCTAACCAATTGATGAGCTCCAGATTCAGTGAGAAAGTGGTTGAGAAGGGCACCAACAGTGAGCCCTGGCCCCCACACCCGCGTGCACATGCATGCACAGGCACAACCAGATACACACACAGATTCCCAAATCCCAAGGATATTTTGAGGGTGTAAGGAAAAGTGAGGACACCCTAATCTTGTCCTCAGGAACCTCTAGGAACCAGTTTCTCCTACCATTCTTAAATGGTTTCTGTGTCTGTTTGTTTATTGGGAGGTGGGAGTACGCAGGCAACCAACCGATGCACACGGAGGCAGCGGAAGTTTGCTGATTGATTTCTCTCTGTTATGTGAGTTCCAGAGATTAAACTCAGATCGTTAGGCTTGGTGGAGGAGAAAGCTTATTGTAGGTAAAAGAGAGAGCATAGTCAGAGGAGGGACATCTGGAAGATTCCAGAGTGGACATGACCCTGAGCCTTGTGAGGAGGGGGGAGAGGTGAGAGTCAGACCAAGGGGCCAGGTAACCAAAATGTCTGGATTATAGAGGGAAGGGAAGGGAAGGAGAGGGAAGGGAAGGGGAGGGAAGGGGAAGGAGTGAGAAGGGGAAGGAAAGGAAAGGGAAGGAAAGGAAAGGGAAGGGGAGGAAAGGGAAGGGAAGGGGAGGAAAGGGAAGGGGAGGGGAGTAGAGGGGAAGGGGAGGGGAGGAAAGGGAAGGGAAGGGAAGGGAAATGAAGGGAAGGGGAGGAAAGGGAAGGAAAGGGAAAGGAAGGAGGGCAGCACAGCACCTGGGCTCGAGAGATTTAGGGTAGGGTGAGGTATGCCAGTCATCCCCTGTAACTGGTAGGGACTGAGGGATGCTGGGAGAACCTGGCAGCCAGGTCTACTTTGATATGTTAAATAAGCATCTCAGTGTCTTAGGTGCCTATTGCTGTGAAGAGACCATAGACCACGGTGGATCTTGCTCCTTGTATGAATGACCATGGTGACTCTTATAAAGGAAAACATTTAATTGGGTGACTTAACAGTTTCAGAGGTTCAGTCCATTATCATCATGGTGGGACATGGCGACATGCAGGCAGACATGGTGCTGGAGAAGGAGCTGAGATTTCTACATCTTAAGTAGGCAACAGGAAGTGGTCTGTCTTGTTGGGCGTGGCTTGAGTATATATACATCAAAGTTCCCCCTTCCCAGTGACACACTTCCTCCTATAGGACCACACCTATTCCAACAAGGCTACACCTCCTAATAGTGCCACTCCCTTTGGGGACCATTTTTCTTCTAACCTCTGCAGTTAGCCATTTGTCCCTAATTTAGGACCTAACAGTGGCAAGCACCTCGCCTTTACCAGCTGAGCTGTCTTGCTAAACCCCCAAGACCAGCTCATTCTAGATCTGGCCTGTCCTTCCCATGTTTTCGCAGCTCGGAACTTTGACCTTAAGAAGTCGGAGGACATGCTCCGGAAGGTAGGACCCTGCTTCCCTGCCCTGGCTCCCCTTGTGCTCACCCAGGCTTCTGGCCGGTAGAGAGAGTCTCTTCTCGTGTTCTGCTTTCCATCTCCTGGGTCCTTTCCTGAACAAGGCCTGAGTCCCTCCTCCCTGCATCCTCCTCCCACCTCCATCCCCAGTTCTGTGGAGGCTAAAGTCTTCTGGCACAATCTTGTAGCTGTGGGAGGGCTGCTGGACTTCATGTCCCCAGTACCTGCAGAGGCTTTGGAGACATGTAGCTTCTGTAGCTTCTGCATATCTCTGCAGCATGTGGAGTTCCGGAATCAGCAGGACCTGAACCACATCCTTACGTGGCAGCCACCAGAGGTGAGCCTTAAGCCTGCTGATGCCCTCCCTCTCCCCCATCTAGCCACCCGATGGCACAGCGTGGGCTGGTTTGAGTGAGGACTTTGTCCATTTGTCCAGGTGATCCAGCTCTATGACTCGGGTGGTCTGTGTGGCTATGACTACGAAGGCTGCCCTGTGTGGTTTGACATCATTGGGACAATGGACCCCAAGGGGCTCCTGATGTCTGCCTCTAAGCAGGACATGATCCGCAAGCGTATCAGAGTCTGTGAGCTGCTTCAGCATGAGTGTGAGCTGCAGAGTCAAAAGGTAAGCAGTGGGATTCAGGCAGCATGTTTGGTGGCCTTAGTGTTCCAAGTGGAGACACTAGGCCCAGGGAAGGACAGCACCTTGTCTCTCTAACTCTCGCCAGCTCTCCGTATGATTTTCTCCCACTTTGATTCCTCCGTGAGTATCATAGTGAATGTGTGTGTGTGTGTGTGTGTGAATATATGTGAGTGTATATGTGTGTGCAAGTATGTATGTGTGTTTGTGTGTGTATGTGTGAATGTATGTGCAAGTGAGTATGTGTATGTATGTGAGTATGTGTAAGTGTATGTGTGTGTGTGTGAGACTCTCTGCTGGCCTGAGGTAAGGTCACCAATGCCTTCTCTTCTGGCTGAGTTCATAAAGTGCTTGCCGAGCAAGCACAAAGACCATGTTCAGATTCCAATCACCCACATAAAAAGCCAGGCCCCGACACTGACCATGGGAGTAGTGAGAACCCTTAGCACTGTTCCTAGGATTTCTTGGAACAGCCAGCCAGCTTTACTTACAGAAAAGATAGTCACCACTGTAGATTCTCTGTCTATAAAAACTAATAGTCAAGCCATGACTCTGTGCATCCCCCCATGGGATGCAAGGAGATACTACAGAGTTATTAAAATATATATGAAATCCTAGGGCCAGTGAGATGGCTCAGAGGTAAAGGCACTTGCAACCATGCCTAACAACCTGAGTCCTGTTCCTCGAACTAACACGGTGGGAGGAGAGAATGACTCCCCCGGGTTTCCTTCTGACTTCCAGACAGGCACCATGGTATGTACCTGAACACACACACCTGGCACACATGATAGATAGGTAGGTAGGTAGGTAGATAGATAGATAGATACATACATACATACATACATACATACATACATAGTACATTGGCAAGTCGGATGTAGTAATGCATCCCTTTAATCCCAGCACTTGGGAGGCAGAGGCAGGTGGGTCTTTGTGAGTTTGAGGCCAGTCTGGCCTACAGAGAGAGTTCCAGGACAGCCAGGGCTATATAAAGAACCTGTCTTGAAAACCAAACAAATTGTATATGGAGCACTCAAGAGTGAGGCTTCTACTCTAAGAAGACCTTCATACTCACCTGGACATGTTCATCTCCTGCCCTGAGCTGCCCTCTGACCTCTGCAGCTTTCAGAGTGAACCCAGTGTAGAAGGCAGCCTTGTTGGTTTTGTGCATCTGAAGTATGAGCCCAGTGCATGCCATGGTGACATGCAGAGATTGAGGACAGCTTCTGGGAATTAGCTCTCTTTCCACCAAGTGGGTCCCAGGAATTGAACTCAGGTCAATGGTCTTGGTGACAAGTGCCTTTACCTGTTGAGCCATCTTGCCAGCCCTGAGTCATGCTTTAATTATGCGCTAGGCAATAGTGTCGAACAAACTATGATACCCGAAGAGCCTAGAGCTCAGCTTTAACCTCTCCTCACACCCTAGATGGATGCCATCTGTTTGGGACCCTACACACGCTTGCCAGGCCTCCCTACCTGGTTGTGGGTATCAAGAAGATGGAGAGAGGTGGCCAGGATCCCCTGCATGAATTATCAATCTAACCAGTGTGCCTGCTCTGTTCCTGCAGTTGGGCAGGAAGATCGAGAGGATGGTGATGGTGTTCGATGTGGAAGGGTTGAGCCTGAGGCACCTGTGGAAGCCAGCAGTGGAAGTCTACCAGCAGGTAAGGCAGGAGACAAGAGCAGTAACAGCACCAGGCCAAGGGGGACCCACAGCCCACACCAGCTTCCCATCCATAGAAAAGTAGAGACACCCTCCAGAGGACCTGTGGACCAGTCTGGCCTTGAGATGCTGGCCTTAGGGGCACCCTAGAGGGAGGATGAGGAGCAAGGACGTCCCAGAGGAGGATGCACGTGTCATGGAGAAGGCGGGGCTGGGCCTCTTGCTTCAGCAGTATCAGAGCTACAGAAGATTGGGCATTCAAGGGCTGGCTACAGCCATGACCGATGTCACTTGACTTTACAGTTTTTCGCCATCTTGGAAGCAAATTATCCTGAGACAGTGAAAAATTTAGTTATTATTCGAGGTGAGTCCATGACCAAGATGACCCCTGCCTGGGGAAGGGAGACTGGGGTGAGGTGACAATGAATAGGCCTTTGGGTTACAGCTTCTCAAAAACAATCTTTTGTGAATAAGGTTTTTGTGTTCTTAACTCCATTCCTTTGCAGACCAATATTTTTGTACTATGCAAAATCCTTCCCCGGTGTGTTTCAGCATGTTAGGTGTCTAAATATTTGTTGCTATTTTCTTATTCACGTCAGTGTAGACTGGACCATGAGCCATTCTGTTAGCAAGAATGGTCCCTGTCTTCGATGGCCGTCCTACATTCCCTGGACTCAGATGTCCTGGGCTCACGTCTAGTTAGCTCTCTCATTTGGAGCGAGTCGGTTTCCTCTCAATGAGACTCAGCTTTTCCGTGTTGTGGAGTGAGACCACCATGATGCCTCCGCCATAGTTAGGATATTAAATGAGAGTCTGCTAAGTGAGAAGATGGCACACAAAACCTGGCCCACAGGAAGTGCTCAATGAGTAAGCAGGTACCCCTGGGGTGGGACAGGATACTCTCACCCCAAAGGACTCTGAGGTCACCTAGCAAAACCATGAGTGGCCTTAAGGAATCATCATTGCTGACCAGGGGTCCAGTTTGTCCCCAACACCCGACAGCTGGTTAAGGGACATCACTGATTATTGAGAACCAGACACCATATGGTCACTTTACGGCTAATAACTCTAAGACTCAGAAGTGCAAGTCTGAGCTAGCGCTCACACAGCAGGGCATAGCATAACCCAGATCCTCTCAACTCCTGCTCAGCGTAGGATTGGCTGCGCCTTTATGTACTGCAGTTGTCTCTGGTCCAGCTTCCCAGTGATGTTCTGTGTGTTTCAGCTCCCAAGCTTTTCCCAGTGGCCTTCAACCTGGTCAAGTCGTTCATGGGTGAGGAGACACAGAAGAAGATAGTGATTCTGGGAGGTAAGTGACTTAGCTCTTGGCCCCCCAGTTGGCGCTGGCTCTGTGCCTGTCTGGAAAGCAGAAGGTATTGCCAGAGGCCCCCTTCTCCTGGGATATCCTCCTTCCACAGCATTGGCCTTGGTCTGCCTCATCAGCGTACAGAACCAGCCTCCAGTTCTGGGTCATGGCCTCCGAGCCAGAAAGCAAGCTCATGAGTGCTCTGAGGAATAGATTCTCAGGGAAGCAAGTGGCCCTCTCACTGGTCTCTCTGTTGGTCTCCAGAGCTCCTCGGTGCCCCTTTTCCTCATACAGATAACTGGAAACAGGAGCTCCTCAAGTTCATGAGCCCTGACCAGCTGCCTGTGGAATTTGGGGGAACCATGACTGATCCTGATGGTAACCCCAAGTGCCTGACTAAGGTACAGAGTGCCCAGAGGATGGGGAGGGAGGAGACTAGCCTGTGGCTGCCTGTCAGCTTACCCACCGCTAACTCACAGATCAACTATGGCGGCGACGTACCCAAGCACTACTACCTGTGCCGGCAGGAGAAGCCGCACTATGAGCACACAGTGGTGGTGGGCCGAGGCTCCTCCCACCAGGTGGAGAATGAGATCCTGTTCCCAGGCTGTGTGCTCAGGTAGGGACTGTGACTGGGCATTCCTGGAAGGGCCTCGCAGTCCACACAGGAGGTCCTCAGAGGCTCTTTCTGCTGCAGGTGGCAGTTCTCCTCCGAGGGCGGCGACATTGGCTTTGGGATCTTCCTGAAGACCAGGATGGGGGAGAGGCAGAAGGCCGGGGAGATGGCAGAGGTGCTGCCCAACCAGCGCTACAACGCCCACCTGGTGCCTGAGGACGGGAGCCTCACCTGCGTCAAGGCTGGAGTCTGTAAGAACGCCAAGTTTTCCTGCAGTTGCCTTTGTGGTAGGAAGAGAGACAGCCACCTGGGGCTGGTCCGGCCTCTCTGGAGTTCCTCTACATCCAGCTCTCAGGGAAAGAGCAAGAACTGTACAGGAGGGCTCCAGCAGCGGCATCTTCAGGGTCTTAGATCTGACTGGTGGATGTAAGGCCGGAGGTGCATTGCACAAACTCCTGAGACTCAGGGCCTAGGAGAATAGCAGCCTAGGAGACAACTAAGTAGCCATGGACTTTGCCAAGGGTCTCTGCAAGGGGCCTGCCCAGTTGTCTAAACTCCAAATATCCCAAAGAGGTGGCTAGAACTGGTATCAGTTTCACAAAAACAAAATGGTCTAGTGTCTTAGCTAGCTTCACATACTATAACAAAATACCCAAGGCAATAAGCCTAGGGGATTATTTACTCTACCACACAGTTCTGGAGGTTCTAGCCCAAGATTCAGTGAGCTTATTGCTTTGAGTCTCCAGCAAGGGTACGCATCATGGCAAGGACACTCAGAGCAAAAACACCTATGTCACAAGCCAGGAAGTCAAAGTGATGGGTATGACATCCCCTCTTCAGGGGCTGCCTGTGAAGTGCTGGTGTAATTCTAGGGTGGTAGAAGGGGTCATACTCCTACTGAGGTCACCACACTCCCAGGAGGAGGTCATGAGTGGTGAGCTTGGGGCAGGCCTGTCGCTGATGCTCACGTCTTACCCATGGCCTGGTCAACACGTTCCCAACATCACCAGGAGTGCGCATGAGCTGGCCTTATGCTGTCTGTCCCCTCTCTGTCCTTGCAGATGTCCTGCGCTTTGACAACACCTACAGTCTTCTGCACACCAAGAAAGTCGGCTATACTGCAGAGGTGCTGCTCCCAGACAAGGCCTGCGAGGAGAAGTTGCAGGGCCTCAGGGCAACAAGCCCTCCTCCGGACCAGGAGGACACTGGCCGCCTCTGACCCTGCTCCACCCAACTCCTTCATGCACCCCTGCCCCTCCCCCCCCCAGACAGGGCGGTGCTGAATGTGGCTACAGAGATCTCCAATCCCCATCTCCATCTGAGCCTCCCCATGGGACCCCTTAGACACAGTCCAGCACTTTCATTCCCTGGACCTCGAGAACAGGGCCGAGGGTGACAGCGCACATCCATTAGGAAAAGGACCCTGCCCTTGCTCTTGTCCTCTTGAAGACACCCACCCACCAAGGATTCAGCCATGCCGGGTATCCCAACTGGGATCCAGTACAGGAGAGCCATATTCTGTTCGCCACAGGGAGTACAGCTGAGGGATGGTTTTTCTCCAGCTGGAGGTCAGCAAGGCCGGAAGGGCCAGCTGGAAGCAGCTGGGGAGCCGGGGAAGGAGGAGCAAAGCCCCAGCTCCAGCAGAGCAGCAAGCCCTTTCTAAATCGGGCTGCCTTTGAAAGGAATGGCAGAAGTGGAGAGGCAGGGCATGGCAGGGGAATCATCAGGGGAAAAGCCACACTTGGCTTTACGAGGCTGAGCGGGTTGTTGAATCTAATGACGAGACACACGCATGCACACATGTCCTCGTGCACCTCCCCCGCCCCCAGCCCACACACACATGCTAGGATCCTGCTAATACTCAACCTTGACTGTTTCCTTTTTCTTCAGGCAGTTGCCCCTGCCAAGCCTTCTTCAAATTCCCCATGTAGCCCAGGCTGGCATTGCAGTCTGCCTTCTTCAGTGTCCCGAGTCCTGGGTTTGCAGATGTGCACCACTAGAACTGGCCAACTTTAGTTCTTTCTGGCCTGAGTGGAGCTCAGAACCAAAGCTAAGCTGCGGGGGAGATATTGGTACTGGGCACAGGGTGAATTATTCTGGAGGTTCATCCTGGCTTCTAGCATGCTTCTTGGAGAGCCTTCCAGCTTTCCATACATCTGCATGTCTCTAAGGAGAGAGTTGGAAGGCAGCTACCAATATCCCTTCCCTGCGTGACCCAGGAGCTGGCCAGTGACTGTGTCTGCATTAATATCTCAAAGGCTGGCCCTCCTGGCATCCACAGGTACCCAGCCAGCCTACCATTTCTCTGTTGGATGGACTGAAACTAACCGAGCAAATGTTACCAAGCTCGAACCAATGCACCTTTGTGGATTGGCTCAGAGAAGCCATTACCTGGAGCCTAGGAGCCTGGGCTTTGCTGCACTGCTCTCTCCTGGACTTATGGCTGGGACAGAAGACCTGTGTCCCACGCAGGGTAACCCAGACACTGGCTCAGGATCACTGATGTTGCCTTCTTTGTCCTCCTGTGCTGCTGGGCAAAATGTCCCTAGAAGTGGAATAGTAAGATGTTCCTGGTAAGGGGGCCCTTGTTTCAAAGTGCTGTCATCCTCAAAGCCTTGGCAGACGCCACTGTCTAGGCACCTTGCAAGCAAGAAGCCATGCCCCGGCCCCTTTCCAGGTTCCAGATGCCATCATTTGATTTTCTCTGCGTGCTAGATGTCTTCATTATCGAAGACATTTTAATGGAAAAAAGTGATAAGCCTTGAAGATGAGGGAGGAGGCTCTTCAGGGCAGCCCCTAGCCACTGTATCTGGACCACTTACAGCTAAGGCTTAGAGTCTTAGGCAGGAATTGCTCATGGCACTGCCTCTTGGCAATACCTGCCTAAAATCAGCCTAAGCAGATTGGCAAGAGGGAAAAAAATTGTACGGTTTTGCTGGATCCCAAGAGCCTGGGACTGTCAGGCAAGAGTCAGAAGGCATTTCCAAGTCCAGGGCTGCTCCTGCACTCTGAGCCCCTCTTGTCTCCCTCCATCTTCTTGCTGGCAGACCAAAAGAGTTGTCGCTGTGGTTAGGACTGTCTTGAGTTCATTCATCTTACTTCATGTCATGAGTACTCAAAACGATTCAATGTGGCCTTAAAATAAAAGGCTCCTGGACTTTAACCCTGACCCTTGCCCTTCTAACCACCCAAAGCCAATTTTCCCCTTTAGTAAAGCCTCACTAGTATTTCCTTGCCGGTAACAGAGACAGATATGCCCCAGGCCCAAGAACAGCTGATGCTTCCATCACAGAGAACAGGCATACATTGTTGCTGGGGACAGAGGGGTAGGCACCAGGCACCAAGGAACGAGCTGTGGATACCAGCATCTCTCGATCCCAAAGCTGGCACAACAATGCCTCATGGTTAAGCAATGATCACAGAGGTCACCTGAGGAGATGATGCAGACCTGCCTGGCAAGTGGACAGGGCATTGAGAGCTCAGGAAGTCATGTGTCCTCAGCAAACCCTCACTCTTGCAGGCACGTCCAACTCTCTGACATTGCAACACAATGCTGTCATCGACAAAGTTCATAACTGAGAACCATGAACCATGCCAACCGAGTTACAAAACAATCTAAAAACCCACAGAAAACACCCACATAACACTTCATGCAATTTTATGGGTTCTGTGATTAGCCAGGTTCATAGAGACCCTGGGCCTCATGCAGCCTGTAGAGTCAGGTGGGACACCCCTTATAGAGTATGAGTTTTTATTTTTTCTTTTTGTAGTTCTGGAGCTAGAAGTCACATCCTTGCACATGCTAGACAAGCGTCCTGCTTGCGAGCTGCATCCCCAACCAAAAGACTGATGAATACGGGAATAGTGTGTGTGTTCCTTTACGTCTCCACTAATCGTATCTTTAGCAGTTGTTGAGCATCTGCCCAGCACCAGGCCTCGCAGGCCCTGGGGACAGTGAGGCTGCTCAGCTGATCTAACTCCACCAACAGGAAGCTCACCCACACTGAGAGAGGCAGAGTGACCTCGATGATCAGAAATCAAGTGTGCATCGTGTCTTATGGTGGCAGGAACCAAATTTGTGGGGCACGCCCAGAAAAGAGTGAGTTTTGGAAGAACTTGGGGTGGGATGGTTAGATAAGGACAGGCCTCCAGGGTGAAGAATGGGATATTGTGGCCATAAGGTGTTTGGGGCCAGAGGAGAGTCAGGCGAGTTTAATAGATGTCAATAAGGCCGGGCGGTGGTGGCGCACACCTTTAATCCCAGCACTCAGGAGGCAGAGGCAGGCAGATCTCTGTGAGTTTGAGACCAGCCTGGTCTACAAGAGCTAGTTCCAGGACAGGCTCCAAAGCCAAAAAAATAAAAAAAAAATAGATGTCAATAAAACATGTCAATAAATCATGTTTGACGTAAATGGCTGTAAGAGTGTGTGGTTTGCCGGGGGTGGGGTGGCATTTTTGGCAGGGAGTTATAGATCCAAGCTCTTCAAATAAGATGCTGGAAAGCCTGAGGCCTCCTCTGTCTCAGGGATGGAGGCAAGGCCAACTCTTCCCAGAACACCTCCCAGAGAAAGTCCTCGTAGCCTTTGGAAGAAGGTGCATAGGGCGTTTATAGGGGTGTTTTTATGGCAGTTGGAAAGACTCCCCTGCCCTCCCACCCCAGCCGAGTTCGCAAAGTCGAGAGGGACACAACAACCCCTGGTGTTCAGAGCAGGTTTTCAGCTATGTTCTAGGGCCCAGCCCTCCACAGTTTACACAGCTCCTTGTCTGCCACCCTGAAGCAGATAGAGATGAAGTCCCCTTGCTAAGACTTGAATAAAGCCTGGCTCTAATGGCAAACTGGATCAGGTACCCAGGTCAGTCTCCCACTGTGTGCTCAGTGCCTTCTTGAGAGGAGAGGGCAGACTTGACCTGTTCTCTATGAAGGAGGGCTGTGTGGGGTGGGGCTTCAGTGTGGGCCAGAGGAAAAGCATGGAGTTCCAGGAGCTAGAAAAAGCCCAGCTCACGACCAGCTTACCGTGTGTCCAGACCAGTCTGCGTTAGGAAGTTTTCTGTACAGTTACAGGGGAGGAGATCCAGAGCTGGGGCAGAAAGTAACTTGTCCTGAGATACAGCATAAGAGGAGAAAGCATAGCTGGGTGGTAGTACACACCTTCAATTCCAGCACTTGGGAGGCAGGAGCAGGTATTTCTTTTGAGTTTGAGGCCAACCTGGTCTACAGAGCGAGTCCCAGGACAGACAGGGATACACAGAGAAATTGTGTGTTAAAAAGATAAAGGAGAGAGAGCAAGATGTGAACTTGGGGAGCTGGACAGGGATACAGCTTGGTGGTAGAGTATAAGCGTAGCGCGTGCAAGGGCCTAGGTTCAGTCCCCTAGACCACTGAAACAACACAAAACCCCATGGACTTGAGGGCAGCTGGCCTGAGTAAGTGGGAGCAAGTAGGCTTGGTGGCCTTGTGACCTCCATCTTCCTCCAGCAGGGAGCAGTGTTGGGCCAGACATACCTTGGCTCACCAGGGACTCAACAGAATCCATTTGCCTCCTGAAGGACCACTTTATCTCACAGGAGGTCCAGGAGGCCAGGCCCACCAGCCCCACCTTCTTGAGGTTGCTCCAAGTGGCAGAAAGAGGTGGTCTGATCCTACTTCAGATCCCGGCTTGGTAATTTTTTCTGACAGGACCATGTCTTCCTCCCATAGGCCCTGCCCTGTCATCTACACCTCCAGCTTAGATGACTTAAGGCCATTGCTACCTTCCCACCCAGACTCCAAAGCCATAAATGTCCCTGAAATGACAGCTGGCTCACACTTCTCCGTGTAAGACCTTCCCTGACTCCTCACGGGTCCCTGTGTGCTCACACGTCTTCTGAAACCCTCTATGGCCTGCCACAACCCTTCTTCCTGCCCCGGCTTCACCTGATAACCTGCATCTCCCAAGTCCTGGTTATCCTGCTTGCTTGAGCTCTGCCCTCAGCCCAGGACTCCCTCTCCCAGCACAGTTCTGGGGAGCCCCCAGGCCTCAGGAATCCTCCACCTTCACCCAACAGAGTTCAGGTCTCTTTTCCATACGGTAAAGCAGCATGATGGCACCATCGTCGGCCTCAACCCTCGCTTCTACTCATCCTACAGCTAGCCCAGGCTCCATGCCCTGTCTGGCCATAGACGAGTCACACATTTACTGAGTCCTGCCCCACCTAGTGGCCATCTCCCACTAGGGTCTCAGAGACAGTGACTGCCCCAGTGATGGTACTCAGACTGAAAGTAGGGACATCTGACTCCATAGCTTTCCCTTGCCGTGATAAAATGTCTGAAACAATTGACTTATAAAGAGAAACGTTTTCCCTTGGTCCACAGTTTTGGAGGTGCCATTCTAAAATCAGGTGCTCCGTTGCTGTTTTGGACTCCTGCTGAGGAAAATGCAAGTTCATTAGTATATCCAGACCTGTCTTGGGCTTAGCTCTATTTGAGGTGCCTGGTGGCTGGTCCGTTAACACACTGTTTACCTGGGAAGCCTGAGAATTGTGTTGGACACATGTTCAAAAGCTTCACAGACCTGTAACCCCAACATGGAGAAGACAGGCAGGTCCTTGGGGCTGGCCAGCCAGCTAGCCTAGCCTAATCGGTGAGCTACAGGCTAGCGAGAGACTCTGCGTGCATAAAACAAGGTGGGTGGCCACTGAAAACAGCACACATGCAGTCCTGACACATGTCACTTGTTTAGTGGACAGAGAGTTTCCGTTGTTGATAAAAAAAAAAAAAACGCACGACAATTGGAATGTAGGCAACTGAGGGACAGAGCCGACACAGGACAAACACACCAACACAGGACAGACAAACCGAGACCGCTTCTCAGAATGATTTGTTTTCCCCAGAGGGACAAAGACAGGAGATAGGACATAAGAGAGGGGGTGAAAGGGGACAAGGTGGGGACAGGGAGAGAGAATACTTGCCCCAGAGGGACAAAGGACTGCCTCTGGATAGAGAGGAGACAGACGTGGCCCAAAGGCAAAGGGCAGGTTATAAAGAGAAAGGGGAAACCCGTGTTAGAATGAGTTGGTTTGCTTTGGTTGGGCATGTTAACTAGAGTAACCAAAAGGGGCTTTTGATTGCTGGACACAATACTTTGATACTAGACCTTGGCAGTCAGCTTTAGGAGGAGGAAATGGCCAAATAAGGCAATAGACCTTGGTGCTTAGCTTTAGAAATGTAATCTGTTTAACAAGGAAAAGGGAATGGGGAGAGCAAGACTTCTCAGAGTAGTATTTGCCAGGCTTGGGCCTACTAGAGCCCTTCAGTGATGGCTCTGAATTAGACACTAAAAGTTATTGGATTGGAGCCAGACATGGTGGTACACGCTGCACTCAGGAGGCAGAAACAGGTGGTTTTCTGAGTTCCAGGCCAGCCTGGTCTACAAAGCAAGTTCCAGGACAGCCAATGCTACACAGAGAAACCCTGTCTCGAAAAAACAAACAAACAGAAAATATTGAACTGGTAAAAATTATGCAAGGTACATTTTTATAGCAGTTAAAAGAAATAGACCCAAAGTTTATGTATAAAGTTGGGCATGGCGCCATCATCTGGGAGGTGGAAAGGATGGTTATAAATTCAAGGTCATCATCAGCCACGTGGTGAGTTTGAGGCCAGTCTGGTCTACAGGAGACTCTTTCTCAAAAATTAATGAATTAGTTAATCAGTTATTTAATTAATTAAAATTTGTAAAGTTTTTTTTCCCCAAAAAAAGAAAGTTGAGGACAATTGTATTTGAGTTTGAAAGAAGGGATTAGTTCAGCAGCCTAAAGCTCACACCGCTCTTACAGAAGATTCGGGTCCAATTCTCAGCAGCCATGCAGAGCTGCTCACAACTGACTACTGTAACTCCAGTTCTTGGAGATCTGACTCCCTCTTCTGGCAAAAAAATAAAATCCCTTATTTTTAAATTAAATTAAGAAAAAGTCTTTTTAAAAAAGAAATGAAAAAAATTAGAACTGAAAACAAATAAGCAACAACAAAATCAGGACAGCTAAGCTACAAATCTTGCAGCTGACTAGAGGAGGAAGACAGAGAAAAGAAAAGA